TATCTAATTTTCAATATCAGTGCAATTAAATTTGAAATTAGCAATAGAGTTATTTTTAAAGCTGGAGGATAGTTCCGTGATAGCTGAAATTTGATCCCCAGAAAAGAAATATATTTATATTTATTCTTATATAAGTATATTTTACAATAGCTATAGATAATTTAAATGCATATATTTGAAAAGTAAAAAATTATTGCCATGTAAAGTAAAAAATAGTGATATAAAATTATTTCAAGCTCAACAACGAAAATACCATATTAAGCTGTTCAGTGTATCTAAAGAGATTTTAGAGAGACATGTTCTTATTTAAGGGCAGGAAAGCCTTCAAAGGTGTGAATTAATTTTTCACATAGAAAAAGAACAGATGGAAGCAAGTGAAACAAGGAGATAAGAGAAATCAAACCAGGCTTGGTGCATGCCTGCACTTGAGGCTGAGAACCAAACAGCGGATCTCAAGCTTGAGGCTACCTAGCTACAGATGAAACTCTATCTAAAAATATAGAGAGAGACAAATTAATTGAGATTTAAAGAAAAACTGCTCACATATTCATTTATGTCCTATTTAATATCTGGTATCTGGAAATTGAACTCTTGACTCCTGAAGTCTGGGAACTGATCCCTAGATGAATAAGCCTTCGATTAACAAAAAAAAGCAAAACTGGGGTAAGGTAAATGGACTTGGGGTGGAAGTTAGTAAGAAAGTGCATTCCGAGGCTTTGCTGTCTCAAAGAAAGTAGGGAGGGATACAGCACCGGCTTCTAAGCTGAGCTCATGTAGCTAAGATAGCACGGAGAGTTGATCCTTTGAGAGTCCACACTGCACTGGGGAATTTGGGCACGGACATGTGCCCTATAGCACAATGGATTCAACTAGAGTCCACCAGGGATTCATCAGAGAGTGCAAGGCTGCACAGATGGGCCAAGTATGCTGTCCTAGAGGACAGAATGAAAAACAAACTCAAGAGGTACTAAGTAGTCAGGAGGCCTAGGGCCAGGAAAGCACACAACTCTTATGATCTCCCTGCTCTGTACCAAACAAGATGAACAACAGTCTCAGAAGTGCTAAGCGTCAATAATTGGCAAAACAATAATTGTCTTAAAACAGAATTTTGTTCCAAGTCCATTAGAAGCAACAACCATTATAAAATAGGGATGAGCTAGTGTGTGTGTCACGAATGCTTAATACTGGTATGTAATCTTTTTTTTTTTTAAATTTATTTATTTATTAAGGATTTCTGCCTCGTCCCCACCACCGCTTCCTATTTCCCTCCCCCTCCCCCGATCAAGATTGTAAACCCCATTGATGCATTGGATATTGAAGTTGCTAGTAAAGAATCATTATAAAGAAAAAAAAAATACTGGTATGTAAGTCTTTCGAGTAACTGTGTAAAAGGCCACCTCCAGGTCACAAAGTTTTGCTTCTTGAAATTCAGTTCACAGCTTTTAAGTAGTTGTTCTTTAGACTCTTTAATTTCATTTTCTATTCTCCGTGTGTTTGTGTGCATGGATGTCTTTGCATGTGCAGGCCTGAGATTGACGTCTGAAACATCCTCCTTCACTCCTCCATTTTAGTCATCGGGTCAGGGCTCTAAATGAGATCCAGAGCTCTCCGATATGGTTATTCTTACTAGCCTGCTAGTAATCCAGAGCTCTCCGATATGGTTATTCTTACTAGCCTGCTAGTAATCCAGAGCTCTCCGATATGGTTATTCTTACTAGCCTGCTAGTAATCCAGAGCTCTCCGATATGGTTATTCTTACTAGCCTGCTAGCGCTGGCTCCGCCAGGCTAGATTGTGGGCTAGCCCACCCACCCAGCATTTCTGTGTGACCGTAGGATCCAAACTCTGGTCCTCGTGCTTGTACTGAAGGAGCTTAGCCACCGAACCGTTTCCCAAGACTGTTTTAACTCTTCACTGCTTGGGTGAGATCTGCTATGTGACAGGGCAGTGGTGACAGGAACTGTCTTATGCTTACATCTAACTTCTGGAGACGCTCCTAGAATTTATGGTTAAATCTGGTGGCTGATGCCAGGTTTTAGAAGATACACACTTTGGTTAAGGAAGTTGCCTTCTGTTTCTAATTTGCTGGTTGTTTTTGTTTATAATGAATTAATAATAAACTTATCAAATACTTTCTCCTTATGAAATAATCATGGGTTGTTTTCTTTGCATATTAGTAGTTTCAGCTTGAAATCACTCTTGTAATTTTGGCCATCTTGAAACTTTATACTAACATATACTTTAACTTTATTTACTAATGTTGTAAAGCCAGGATTCTTCATTGATAGTCAATTTTTTAAAGAATTGTACTGTGTTGGGTTTTTGATCCTACTGCACGTACTGGCTTTGTGGGAGCCTAGGCAGTTTGAATGCTCACCTTACGAGACCTGGATAGAGGTGGGCAGTCCTTGGGCTTCCCACAGGTCAGGGAACCCTGATTGCTCTTCGAGCAGATGACGGGGGGGGGGGGGGGGGGGACTTGATCGGGGGAGGGGGAGGGAAATGGGAAGCGGTTGTGGGGACGAGGCAGAAATCCTTAATAAATAAATAAATTAAAAAAAAAGAATTGTACTGTGCTTATCTGATCTTGTCTTCAAATCTCAGAAAATTTGTTGAGCTTAGATTCTCTTATATTTTATGAAATGCTTTATATACAAAACGAGTTCTTTTACCTTAAACACCTGATAGGCTATACTGTGAGCCATCAGTTAACTTCTTGTTGTATGGAGATTTGAATAATAGCTTCATTTGATCCATAGTTGCTGGTGTGAATTTTCTGTATTGAGCAGACATCTGTTTAATCCAAATTTTTGAACAGCATATTGTTATGAATGTGGAGAACCCAACAAATAGGTAGATGCTATTATAGGAATCATTTTAACTTTTAAAACTCAATCCCAGGCACTACTACCAGTGGTTTGTGTGTTTTAATGCTGAAAGCCAAAGCCAGGGCCTGATTCTTACTAGATGAGTACTCTGCCACTGAGCCACTCACCACCCCCAGCAGAGTATTTTGGGGGTTCAGCAACTGAAGGACCACATTTTGGGAATCATGGCTCTGCAATTGTGATTTACAAAACAAGAACTCCTGTTCAAGAACACTAGGTGTCCCATTAAAATCTGCCAGTCATTAAAATAAATGCTCGCCATCCTGGTCTTCTTTGCCCTTACTGTGATGAAATACCCTGATGAAAGCAACTTCAGCAAGAATGGGTTTGCTCAGCTCACCCTTCAGGGATACAGCCCATCATGAAGGGGAGTCAAGGGAAGGCAACGTCAAGAAGCTGCTCCCATCAAATCCACAATCAGGAGCACTGTGCACAGCAAGTATCTCCATCTTATACAGCCCAGGATCAAAGCCAGGGGATGGAATGGCAATAGTCCTATGTAACACAGATGCCCAGAGGCCATTTTCTGTTAATTCTAGATTCTGTCAAGTTAGCAATGCCAATCTTCATGCTCCATTTAGTTAATCTTGTACTTTAGACTTTTTTATGTTTCTTAGCTTCACAGTAGATTACAAAGCACTTAGTTGTGTGGGTTGTTACTTTTAAATGTATAGGTTTTGAAACTATAATTATTATAATCTATGTATTTTAATTATCTGGGTGGGGGAGGCATTCTGCCTGATGTATCACTGTATTGGCTTGTCCACAGGCTGCTAGCCCAGAAGCTTTCTTGGGGTACCTTCTGCCATTCCTCTGTGACCTTACCTCCAATCAGAACTCAGGAAAGGTGGTTCCTCAGGATTGACCAGGAAGAGAAGATTTTATGGCAGTCCTTGATAGTCTTAGATTCTAATCTCCCTAAATTTCTATGTTTCTTAAAAGATGACCTGGGACAATAAAAGGGAAAGCCTCATGCATAGCCACAGAAGTGCCACCTGCTTTCCTTGTCCCTGGGTTGTAGCCACAGCATCCTGACTTCCCTGTAGGGAAAGAAAGCACGGGAGCTCTCAGAATCCAGGGAACTCTGCAGAGAGCATGCACACTGCAGCTTTGCCACATGTGCATGAAACGGACTCATTGGTTTGACAACTTTGTGACATTTCAAGTTCAATAATCACTCATGTATGAGTCTTTAGTTCTTCAGAGATTACATTTCTTCTAATCAATGATTCACCAAAGGGTTTTTAGCTATACCAGCCTTAGCATAAGTCAATTTATATATCTGCCCATTTAGAAAACATATAGACTTAGGTATTTCTTTAACATTTCCTAGTTACATGCTGCAGTGTTTCTCATCGTGGCATTACGTATAGACTGAAGTCTATGTGTGTGTGTATGTATGTATGTATATATATATGATATGCATATTTATAGACATGAATACAAATGCAGCATTTTCAAAGCTTGCATAGGTAATTTTAAATACTTAATATGATGAACAACTGAACTATTAAACAAGAATAAGTGGAATAAAATGCAGGAAATATATTTATCACATTTTTTAATTTTTTATTTTTTGTGTTTATCACATTTTTAGCATAATTAAAAAATAATCTCTAAATGATGACTTATCGACCTAAGCCCTGGTTTTAATAGTTAAAAATCATAACAAAGAATGATTTTACTAATTGAAATCTGTTTTGACAAACCCTTATTTCCCTAATAAGTTTGACTTCCTGAAAGTACCATAAGAAATTAATGAATCCCATGTTAATTAGGTTTGAACTTTTTTTCTGCGGTATTCAAATGAAAAAACCTGAAACACAGTACATTCAAATTGCTTTTACTCAATTGACTATTAGTGACAAAGTAAATATAATATATTATTATATATTATTATTATACATGAATGCTGTAAGAATCTATAGCGTTCAAGCTAGAATTTTCTAATTTTGAACATTGATTTGTCTTTTAAATTTATTTTGTTTCTGATAATTCAAATACTAAAGTAGTGTTTTACAAGTATTTCCTAATTGCCCAACTGAGACCTTCCACGAGAGAATGTATTCTCAGAAACTAACAAGTATGTGTCCTTTTCTTGTCATTTTGTTAGCCTCTTAGCAAGTACCCCGCTGTGTTCAATGACATTTCATTCTGGCTGCCCTCTGAGAATTACATGGAGAATGATTTCTATGACATCGTCCGAACAGTCGGGGGAGACCTGGTGGAAAAGGTTGATCTTATAGACAAGTTTGAACATCCAAAGTAAGTGAAAAGCTTTGCGATTTTCTCCTTTACCATCTCTGTGTGACAAATGGGACCTGGAGACTTACAACAGAGTTTCGCTGAAACCCGTTGCGTCATGACACACTGTCTTCTGAATTCTTACTGGGAGGGAGGGTGTGTGTGAAAACTGCCCTCTCAGAAAATTTCCTAAAATGCCTCTTATCCTTTCCTGCCTTGGTAAAGAAAGTGTCTGAAACAGTATTTGAAAGGTCCTTTATCTGAGCAGGGGTTTCTGGCCCTGTCACCCTCCAGGCGCAGAGCTGATGAGACAGGGGAAGAAGTCTGTGATGCAAACCTTAGTCACATTTACTAAGCGACACAAGAGCCACTGTTGGTCTTCACGTGCATTGTGCTCCAGTGTCTTCCCTGAACTTGCTGTCTGGTGGGAGGGGCACATAGTACATAAATAGCTACACACACTGGCGGTCTAATGAGGGAAAACACATTATCAGCCCATCAACGAGCTGATGCCAGCTGGGAGATTAGATCAGCTCTTGAAGATATTGAAGGTGAGCAAATAAACATGATGGCTGTAATATCCCAGCTGCTCCAGAGACCGAGGCAGGAGGATTGCAAGTTCAAAGTCAGTTTGAGCTATAGAGTGAGTTCAGGGATGGGCTGAGACCTTAATGAGATCCTGTCCCAAATTTTAAAAATAATAATTAAAAAAATGACTGAGGATGTAGCTCAGTGGTTGAGCATTTGTGTAGCATGTGGGAGGTCCCAGGCTCAATCTCTAGCACTGTAGAAAATACTCAGAAAAAAAAGTATGCTGAGCAGTCTTTGAATGAGAAAAGAACATTCCAGAAAGCAGACTTGAGAGCCAGGCATAATCACTCATGCCTATATTCATAACACTTGGAAAACTGAAGCAAGAGGATTGCATTGAGTTCATGGACAGCCTGGGCTACATGGTGAATCCCTGACTCAAAAGATTAAAAGGGGGAAAAAGAGCTACATAAAACAAAATAGAAATCAAATTAGAATCCTCTGGTGGGACAGTGACGCATACAAGATGCTGAAGGCAGCAAAGAAATATGGCTAGAGACGCTAGGGGGAAGCCAATGAAAAGAGGTGGACTCTTAGGTAGAGATGTGTCCATAGGATCAGGCCACGCCAAAAGGTGCAAGTCTGAGACTTGTATTTTACATTAGCTGTGATTAGAAGTGTCAGAAGTGTGTGAGCAGGAGAGATGGAGGGGTGCTCACCTTCCTGGCTCATCCTTCTCCAAAGAACCTTCTTGACTCCCAGCTGTTGGAGACTGGATGGTCACTGAATCTGGCCTAGCACCCCTCCGCGCCCCCTTCCTGGCCTTCACACTTGTATCACAGCCATATTGTTGCTCTGCACTTCCACTCTCTACCCTGCTGAACACGGTCTCTCTTGTTTTGTTCTGTTTTGTTTTGTTAACTCTTTTTCCTTCCTTCCTTTCTTTCTTTCTTTCTTTCTTTCTCTCACTTCCAGCTCTTGCCTCATTTCCCCCATTACTTAGCGATCCTAAGTTCATTGTTAAAGGCAATGTTTGCTCAAAAAACTGTGGAAACAGTATCTTGTGACCTGTGTGTCTTCAAAACTGGCAGTCTGTTTATACCTAAATGAGTGTCACTTGGATCAGACATAGGTGTAGTGTTACTCTCTTGACTTCTTGAGTTTAACTTGGTATGAAGAAATCTAAGGCCACGCTTGACCGTTTTCACTTTTTGTCCTAAAGGATTTTTTTGTTGTCTAAAAAGCCGGCTCACTTGATCAGGATACCCCTCAATGGGAACCTTCCTCCCGTGTGCATCTTTCTGAAATGAGAGTTGTCTCTGCTTTTGCTTTAGGTGAGCTTTCTTAAATTCTTTCTTTATGGGTTCATTCTGAGAATGTTCTTCATATAACTCTGCTCCTATTATTTTCCTCTCTCATCTTCTAAATCTCTTTATTTCCACTTCACCTAGTAGGCCTCCTTACTATGATAGACTCTGGCCTTGGGTTTATCTTTTCTGTCTCTCCTCTGTCCACACATCTGTACTCATTTTCAGTCACTGATTCCCCCTTTGTGACATCCTGAGAGCTCACATCCTGTTCCTCTAATCTTGGTATGTCTGTTGTTGTTGTTGTTGTTGTTGTTGTTGTTGTTGTTGTTGTTTCAAGACAGGGTTTCACTGTATAGCCTTGGCTATCCTGGAACTCACTCTGTAGACCAGATTGGACTCAAACTCAGAGATCCACTTGCCTCTGCCTCCTGGGTAGTGGAATTAAAGCTGTGTGCTACCACTGTCTGGCTTCCCTATGTCTGCTTTATCACCCTCATTAACAGAGAAGTTGCTTTACTTGGTTTTAACGAGTCACTGTAAAATATTTAATCAGAAATTGTATGCACTCCAGTGACAGCAGTCTTTCCTCTTAGCATTTCTTGTTAGTAAGCTTTTCTACCACTTTCCTCATTCACTCTGTTTTGATTGATGAGTGTGTGGTAGAAGTGGGATTGCCTTTTTGTAACTCATTTGAATGTATTGGGTTTCCTGGACCAAGTGCTGCACAAGCTTGGCAGGGGAGGTTGGGAATTGACCTGGGGTAGGGGATGGGGGGGGGCACTCAAGTCCTCCTTCATGGTAACTTGCTATATCAGCAAGACTTCTTTTCCCCTTTACTCCCAAGAACCAAATCTTTGCAGATTTGGAGAGAGAACCCAAGGCCTCCCATTTGCCACTCTACCACTGAGCTATGTCTCTTGACATATTTTTTCTTTTTATGTTAAAATGAGGTCTCAGTAAGTTGCCCAGACTGGCTTTGAATTCACTCTAGTTCAGGCAAACTTGAACCTGGATCTTCCCATCTTGGCCTCCTGAGAGGCTAGGATTACAAACTTATGCTGCCAGGTCCAGCCTGATCTTTCATTCCTGCCTCCGACCCAAAGTCTATTCTTGTTCAGAACAGATGTACTCTTGTTTATCCAAGAATGGACATTTCTTTAGACTATAAACCTCAGCTCTTGGGTAAAAGCAAAGCTATTTGTTGGGGTCGTTTGAGGTAAGATATTACATGTGTTTCTTTGCTTTTGAGATATTACATGTATTTCTTTGCTTCATCCTATTGGCTTTCTACTTGATTTCCACTTTTGGAACCTGCATGTGCTACTTGTCTCCTGGCTTTACTAGAGTGCCTGGCTGAAACTCAATGTCTTTTGTACCAAAGCTCTTTTGTACCAAGGTGTGATGCTGTCCAGAGAGCAGTACCAAAACTGCTGGCCCTGGGGCGTGTCACCTCAGCCCTGGTACTATAGGTGAGAGAAAAGCAGCTTATTGAATACAGGTGTTTGTCATTCACATCCAAAGCTAAACCTAGTCCATACCACTGAGGAGCATGTCTGAGGAGAGATGTTCTTTCGCCGTGTTGCTCACATTCACACAGTCTTGTGGGCAGAGGTCGTCATGCTTTCTCCAATTAATATCAAGACTGTTAAGCATTTTCACTTTGTGGACCTTCTTGTCTCTCCTACACGACCTGACTGCCACTGCAAAAGCTGCCATAGACGGAGTGCATGTGGCCAGGCCTGCCTGTGCCCCAGGTCAACCTAGGAGTCAGATTTGGCCTGTACGCTACAGTTTGCTGACTCAAGACCCCACTTTGAGTCTGTAACCCTGGCCTGGGAGGTTGTCCATGCTGAACATCCTGCACCCCCTTCCTTTTTGGAAGGCCTCGAGCATCCTATACCCCTCTCTTCCCATGGAAGACCCTCTGATCATCCTAGAACCCCTCTCTTCCCATGGAAGACCCCCCCTAAGCAGCTTGCACACCCTTCCCATATAAGGATCCTTGAGCATCCTACACCCCACCCCTTCTCCCCATCCCAAGATTCCTTGAGCATCCTACACTCCACCCCTTCTCCCCATCCCAAGGCCCCTTGAGCATCCTGCACACCTCTCACCCCATTAGAAGGCACCTGGTTGTGTGGCGAGTGAACTTGTCAATACCCACCATGAGTGTTCTCTGCAGATGTAACTGAACATGGTACAAAGGAGCCTGAACCCTGTCTCTGCCTGACATCCAGAACACATGTCAACATGGAGGAAGCACAGAGACTCCTCTCTGAGATAAATAAGTGTTGAGCAAATTGCATATTGTGTTTTGAACAAAAGCACATCTCAGGATATCTGAGGGAAACATAATCTACTGAATATGGGGCTAATTTCATAATGTTCAACAAATGGAGGAATTTTGTCTCAATTACAGATAACAGTCTGTCCCCTGCAGGAAGATGGATGCATGGCTAAGAAGAAAATAGCATTCGGTTCTAGCTGGTCATTCAGAACCTTCTTCCAGAGGGTTACTGTTGCTTCCTCTCTGGGCCTCTTAATGTACTAAATGGAGTCTGTAGTTCAAAAGTTTAACCTAACAACAAATGCCATCGTGGCCACCCCTTCTCAGGGTTGCTGTCTGGACCCCTGTGGACTATTGCTCTCTAGGCATGTCCTGTGTAATGAAGGTAAATCATAAGTCATCTTATGTGTGCCTTCAGCTCCCTTAGAAGGCAGCAATCATCTTTAGTCTCTGCAGCTTTAAGTTCATGCAGCTTTAAGACGGATAGTGCCAAGTTTATTTTCTTAGGCGACACAATTGTTCAGAATATTTTTAGCCTGAGGCATGAGAAAGAGTAAAGAGGAACTGGGAAAAGCAGACCATTTTCTCCAGGCTCACACTCCATTTGGATATGGCAGCAGGTTATTGTGAATTATAGAGATAAATTATCAAATAAAATGGCCTCAAATAGGCTGCTTTGGGTTGAGTTTAAGACATGTTGTTGAGAGAATTAAAATTTGTTTTTTGGGTTTTTTTTTTCTTTTGCATATTTGGGTTGGCACTTAAGAAATGCATAGTGGTAAAAATGCAGGCATCAACAGCAGATACAGATGTCCCCACACCGGCTTTGCTCGTAGACACAAGTTTCTCTGGGACTGCAGTACTGCCGCTGTTCATATGGTCATGATGAGTGT